TAAACATGTAAAGATTAGTCACAGTAGCCCGGAATAAGGCAATTCCATCGAGAGAAGGAGCCTTATTCCCACTACTCATTCCACAGCCTATTCAGAGTTCAATAGTGGAGTAATCACACCCATTGTTGAATTGCTGGAATAGGGGAAAGTGAAGCTTCTGAGCCGAAGAAATAGGGACCAGCAGCTAAAATTTTTCAAAACATTGAGCTGCAGGTCATCCTATTCTAGGCCAAGGTGCCAGGATCTGGAGAGAGTCGCTTATTCAAAGCCATCTGAAGCTATAACGAATAAGCGATTCAATTCAGAATAAGGGAATCAAGGATGGCCAAAAGGCGCAACTATGATCCTGGGCCAAAATTGCTTATTCTGAATGGAATAAAGAGCGATGGGGATAGATTAAGTTGCCACAGCCGAGACTAAATCCGATTGGACCGAAAGTTCGGATTTAGGCTTGGCAGAACAAGTGGTCTAGGCGCTAGTGACTGAGGCACATTGAGAACGGGTGACCGGTCAAGAGAAGCGGGAGATATTGTGAGGCTTGGAATAAAGCCTTGGCAATATCAAAAGGACTTCGGGTGGCAGGATTAGCGGGAATCTGGTTACAGAATAGCAAGTCAAGGAATAAGAGGCAAAGAGAATATTTGGGACAAGCTTGCTAGCGTTAAAAACAAAAACCGATATAAAAGGGATCATCCACTGAGATGAACCAATTATGTCAGAGGAAAGGCAGGTTGACTGGGGACAGTCAACATTTAAAAATGGGGGAGATGATAAGCCGCGAAATTTGCGAAACCTCAAATTTTACGAATGCATGCCATTCTGCGCTCATCCAGTGGTTGGTGTGAGCTCCAAACATGCAACCAAGAGCCATATTGCATTATCATCCTAAACACTGGCGCCTATGGCTTATTCCAGGAGACGACACCCTTGGATCACTAGGGGTCAGATCCGGATTAAGGCTTGAAGCCCAAATATCAAAGTCCTGAAACACCCTCTATACGTGGGAAGGCAACCGCAATGCTCACTACCAAAGGGAGAATCATAATATCCACCTCTGACATCTATTGGGGCACTGGGAACCTTATTCGGGAGGAAATGCTGAGTTGATTACACAACTTTGGCTTATCCAACGCGACGCGACAAGTCACAGGATCAAGGCCTAGACTCAATATTGCTGTTTTAAACACCAGGTCCGTGAGGACACGATCACCCGATAAGCCGCAGACCGGGACTAAGCACGTACTATGTGTTCCTGGATGTCGATTAAGGACATCTGGGGTATCGTTGGAAAGGGAATAACCTATACTATCCAACTAGCGATACTAGAAGTCGGGGCACACACAACAGAGGAAGATATGGGCCAATTACCCTGTTTAGGGGAATAGTGGAACATATAATCCCCTGATCAACAAAGGGTTGTCGATCACCGGATAAACTGCCGACCAGGATTAGGCATGTACTGTATATTCCTGGATGTCGATTAAGGACATCTGGGGTATCGTTGGAAAGGGAACAACCTATATTATCCAACTAGCGATGCCAGAAGTTGGGGGACAGACCATTAAGGAAGATATGGGCCAATTACCCTATTCAGGGGATATTTGAACATATAAACCCCTAATCCATGAGGGGTTGAAGGAGTCATTATACAAACATTTAGGAGGCTAGGAACGCCAGGGCGCGCACAGCTGATACCGATCACAGGCTAAATAATTAAGTAGAATACCCGAGGCCTAGTAATCACGCGTATGTAACAGTTTCTGTACAGTATATAAGGAGGGCAGAACCAGGGAGGACGGCACCGAACTAGACCTGGAGAGTGAGGAGCAATAAAGCCCTTGCGCACAAAGTCGACGTTTGGGCTTGACTCTTTGGCTGTCAACAGGCCTCAGAATTCAAGTTTGGTTTTGGAATAACAAAAGGACCGAACTAGACCTGGAGAGTGAGGAGCAATAAAGCCCTTGCGCACAAAGTCGACGTTTGGGCTTGACTCTTTGGCTGTCAACAGGCCTCAGAATTCAAGTTTGGTTTTGGAATAACAAAAGGACCGAACTAGACCTGGAGAGTGAGGAGCAATAAAGCCCTTGCGCATAAAGTCGACGTTTGGGCTTGAATCTTTGGCTGTCAAATAGCCTTGGAATTTAAGTGCGGTTTCGGAATAAGACTTTGTTTGAGGTGCGAGCCATAGTTACGGGGCGTGAGCCATAGTTACGGGGCGTGAACCATTGTTACGGGGCGTGAGCCATAGTTTCGGGGCGCGAGCCAGCAAGTTTGAGGCGCGAGCCATTGTTACGGGGCGCGAGCCATAGTTACGGGGCGCGAGCCAGCAAGTTTGAGGCGCGAGCCAATCATTGTCGGAATAAGGCGCGAGCCAACAAAACCGGGTCTAAACAGCCCACAAAACCAAGCCGGTTCACAGCCGTTATCTTTGCATAGTTGGGACACTTAAATCCATGTTGGGAACCAACCGATAAATTCAGGTTGTGTCTTGAACACCACTTCGAGAAAGCTAGTTGAGACTTAGCCATCCTTGGGGGGAACGGGAATTGAATACTTTCGTGACAAATACGTTTACTCGTGGTTTCCTTGGACCTACACTTGTGTCCAAAAAGACCCGAATCTTGTCAGTGTATCTTGGTCGTCAAAAGAGTGTGTGGTGTTGGAGTCTGTCTACCGTCGATTTAGTCGCGCTTAATCTCACTTTGTGAGTTAGGTGTAACTCAGTCGTTCGATAGGGGGGATTTTGGCAGTTGCATTATTCTGACCGTTGAACCTGAGCAACCGTTTCACCGCGCGCCCGTCCCCACCGGCCAGCTGTTCCGATACCACTGCGCCCACGTCGGTCTCCGCCTGGTTTTCACGAGTCCGCCAACCCTGGCCCAAATGTGAGCGAGCTACTTTCTCCTCCTTTCTGCTGGCTAACGGGCTTTCAGAGGGATGTTACCGCCGCTCGCTCGCATGGCCGCTCTCGTCGAGTTCGGCGGTCGCTTCGCGAATGAGGGCTGGGGCGCCGTATACGTCACCGCGGTCGTCGAAGACTACTTCCTCGGGCTATTCTACTCCGGCCAGATCGACGTTGCCGAATTCCTCGACCACATACGGGTGAAGGTGGGGCACGCCGCGGACTTGACATCGCGCCGGAAAAGATATACGAAATGCAACTTCCGCCAGACCCATTTCTGGCTTTTCTGTTTTCGCCCGCAGCACCGGAAGGTGACCGGTGAGTCTTTTCCGCTATCCACTTATTCCGCTAATTGTCTTCATGCCCAGAACGGATGTGCCACGTCTGTTTTGACATGAAGGACAACCGGGCGTTCCTGCATTGTTCCTGCCATGTCGTTCACGGGGAGTATTGGTGGCTACAGAAAGTCGGCGGCTTCGGGGAGGTCGAGGCTTGCGTGCGGTGGGTTTTACACGCCCTCGGTGAATCCGCTGTGCCTCGGTGAGTCGCACCTTATTGTATGTCCGTGGTTTGTTGCTCACTCTCCTCAGGGAGAATTTGGGAGACGCGTGGATGGCGTCCCTTCGGGCGTAATAGTATATATGCATGTACATGTGTTTCTTGATTACATCTTGGATAACTAGCAGCGGAGGAAGTGTACATACAGTGCGTCTCCCTCAATTTCCTTCCTTTGATTTTCTTTGCTGACTTGATTTTGCAGGTATCTAATGTATATTACGGGCTATGTCTACTTGAATACACAGCGTATACATCGTTGCATGGTCCATGCACACGAACCCTGAGAGTGCGTACATACTTGGTCACAAAAAAAAAACACTTGGGCTAACTCAGCACCAACCTCAGATACGCTGGGAAGGAGGCGACTCAGGATAATGGAGGAGACGACGGGTTAACTACTTCTTAGGACGGTCCTATGTAAGTATTAGCTCAATGAATATATTCTTCATCCGCGCGGGGGATGGGGGTTGCGAGGGTATGTGCTATGGATTTTTTTTTTGGGCTGTAATACGATTGGAACCATGCTTATGATACTCCAATACTCAAATTGCACGCACCGTAAAAACGAGTTGGAAGAAATTGAATTTCTGAGGCGAAAAATGAATTGTAGAGGGTCACGTGTCGTGACAGAGGGTAGTGACCCGCTTTCCATTGACCACCACCACAGTCCAACAAGTGTATATCGCTCGTTGTGACCGCGGGGACGACTGCCCACGATGCGTAGATCGCTCGTTGCGCTGTCGTCCGCCCCCAGCCCACAATGCGTAGATCGCTCGTTGCGCTGCCGTCCGCCCCCCGCATGATTACCGACCCTCCAGTGCTCAACGACTCTATCACTTTGAGAGTCTTGCAAACACTTTTCAACCGCCAAGTCATACCAATTTAAGACTAATTCGGGTCGGCGTCCCGTCGAGAGAGACACCAAGGTCGGTTTTTTTGATGACCCGATATCAGAGTTTTTTTGACCATCTTCCACTACAGCACTATCACATTTCAATCTCAGCCGCTCAAGACTCCCGTGGGGAGTGTGTCAGACGTGCTTCGAACTTTTGGTGAGTCCCCGCCAACTCTCTCCTGCTTCGCGACCACCTAAATCCTTGGACATCCAGCTTCTCCGTTGGCTGCTCATCAATGTCGAAATTTCATTCAAAATTCCAAGCCGCGCCGCTGGGTGTGCCCTCTTTGCAAAATGGTCATCCACCCCGCGCCCATCCGCCAATACGCGGATTACGAGGTTAAGGATCATTCCCTCGTCGACTCACGCCTTAGCTAGTTTTGCGTATCGTTTTGTGAAAGGCATTCCTGCCCGCAAATATACATATATTTATTGTCTTCTTTCTTCTCGCGGCGGCCTAACTTCTTGATGTAGTGTCTAAACAATAGATCTCTTTGTTCCTTATTGGGACCTCTGCAGTAATACATCCTCCTCCTCCTCCTCCTTTGGACGACAGTCTCTTCCTTGTAAGGAACGCAAAAGGTTTCCTGAGGCCAGCTCCCCGGACGCTACCCCAGTTGCGTCCGGTACGCCGGTCTCCGAAAAAGGCCACGCCCCGACTCGAACGGGGGACCTCCCAGTGATCTTTATTCAGAGAAGGAGAAAAATCCCAGGTGCCATACCACTTGGCTACACGGCCTAGCTGATTATCCATTAAACCTCACTATATACGACCTCTCAACGTAACATTCGCAATGTCGCGCTTTGGTGATGTGATGGACTTGATGGACCCAATTGGGATACATCCTCAGGTCTAACTTCCATGTCGTCCCCCACGTTCCGGAGCGTTTATCGCTCCGTCAACGTCGACAACGGTGCAAGACCGTATCGGGACCCTCAGCTGCGGGTTGCCCGCCCGGTTCCCCGCGGGTTCCATTCTTGGATCGAAAGAAACCAGGTACAAAGAGTTCAAAGGTCACAAAGAGAAAACCCTCCTTTAAAACCCTTGGAGTCAAGATGATCCTTCCCCACCGCACCTTCGACCTTTGCTATTACCGCTCTCAAACTCCCGCCACCGTACCGCCCATACATCATGGTCAACACCCGTACTCCAATCGCCAGCCACAAGGTGAAAGCGGTTCTTTCGTATGGCGTCTGCATTGATGACTGACGCCCTTTCAGGCTTTCGTCCGCTGTTATATGTCGAGTCAGGCCAAGGCCGAGGAAGTCCGACCTCGGAGTTCGCGGGTTCTCGCAACACTACAAAGAATAGAGTGAGCGACTATTCGGGTCCGCAGTTCCGCACAAGACTATAGTCTGGAGTCACGGTAAGGCCTCGGAGAAATACAAGTCCGTCGGCCCGATGAGTAATCAGTGATTAGAAGGGAAACGCTCAGTAGACCTTCATAGCGTGAAAACCCTCTCGGGAATTGCCGGACCGGGCCGGCCGGGCCGGCCGGTCCGACAAAGCACGGATATAACAGTATCCCCCTCTTAAGACTCTTACCCTCAAGAGTCTTCGGAGTTAATCCTGTTTGATCCGCCCGGAAAATATTGGTTGCCGAAATCACCGATGTCCGAGAATGTCCGAGGACGGCGACCGAAATCCGGTATGTCCGTAAGTCCGATAAATGCACAGCCGAGGGAGTGTTAAGTGAAAGACATATATAAGGAGGTCGATTCGGAGTCAGAGTTTAAAATCCCCCTTGACTTGAACACCCATGTCGTCCGCGAATATCGTCGTCCCACCCCACGGTAAGTCGTGCATTGGTGTTTGTCGGCGTCGTCGCTGACAACACCGACAGCCTGCCGCCGCTGCCGCCGCACTGGGCGGACTTGTTTGAAAAAAATCGGGAAGTCCCAGGGCTGCATTGAGTGTCTGCAGTCCAAGGTGAAGTGCGAGTGGACTTTGGGCCCCGCCGACTCCGACCCCCGACCCCCGAACTCCGCGGCCGCCGTGGCTAGCGGCTCTGGGCCTTCGGCGCCCGACGCTGTCGCAGTAGCGGGCCCCTCGTCGGAGTCGCCTCGGAGACCGAAACGTCGGAGTCCGAGGTCGCACCCCGGGGTCCCCGCGACCAAACGTTACCGCCCTCCCCGCCACAACTGCGGCCTTGCCTGCCCCTGCTGGTTCGAAATCGCCCAGCTGAAGCTAGTGGTCAAGACCGCCAGCGAGCGCTATCGCTTGATCCGCGCTCAACACCGACGCAACCGCCTGAGCCACCTCCAGCTCAACCACGCCATCCTACGGATCGAGGAGTGGATCAAGTCTGCCGACGCGGACTTCACCTTATACCCACTGCCTATTTTCCGGACCCGCGTCTCACCGTCCCCCGAGCTCTCCGAGGTTACGCGCCTCGACGACCCCGATCTAGATACCATTTGGTACGGGTTCGGGGATGATGTGATTGAGGACGGAGTTCGGTCTCGGGACCCGACGGCGAACCCCGAAGCGATGGATGTCGACGTCTCAGAGGTTTCGGGGTCGGTGGCCGAGGGAAAAGGAAAGGAGAAGGCGGTGGAGTCGGCGTCCGAAGAGGAGGAGGAGGAGTCCGAAGAGAAGGAGGAGGAAGAACAAGAGGAAGGTTCGGAGTGGGGAGGAATTCCCCCGGAGGACTTGTAGATAAAAGCCTCGGGGTTGTATATAGAATAATTTCCTTGGTTGTAATGCGAAGTCGTGTCCGATGTCCGATGTCCGATGAGAAGGCCGATGTCAGAGGAAGTCCGAATGTCCGATGTCCGAAGGTCAATAGTTCGGACCCGGCTTGTCGGGGTATCGGAGGTGGAAGCTATCGACAAGTTCTGGTGCGTGAACGTCGTCAGCTCCGACCCATGTATACTGCTCATCGGTGTTCTCGTATCCGAGCCATTCTAGCTTGTAACGGAGTTTGACTCGGAATCTCCGATCTAGCTTTGAGTCAACGATGTCCTTAACTTCAAAGTGCTCCTCGCCGTCAACGACTTCAACAGCCGCCGGAGGCTCGGGGGCCCGAGAAGGATAAGGATTAGGAAGGTGAGTCTCAAGCTGAGAGACGTGAAAGACCGGATGGATACTCCGAAGCTCCTTCGGAAGCCAAAGTGTATAGGACATGGAGCTGGGTTTGGCGATGACTTCGTAAGGTCCGAGATACTGCTCGGAGAACTTCGGAGTTGGACGAGTGGTTCGGATATGCTTCGCCAAGACGTAGGCCGAATCTCCGATGTTAAAGGTCGGACCGGGGTTGCGACGCCGATCAGCCGTGTCCTTGTATCGGAGTTGAGCGGAGGTGATCTGCTCTCGGAGGAATTCGTGAAGACTTTGAAGGTTGACGGCCATGTCTTTAGCGTAAGTGTTAGCCACATCACGCTCCGAATGAATGGTTAAAGCAGGATGGTAGCCCTTGTTCGCGAAGAAAGGTGAAACTCCGGTAGATGCGTTCGGAGAGTTGTTGTATGCGAACTCCGCCAGAGGTAATAGGCGGTCCCAGTCGTCCTGTTGGTAAGAAGTATACATTCGGATGTACTGTTCCAGGGTCTGATTAGCGCGCTCGGTTTGCCCATCGGCCTCGGGGTGATACCCCGAAGTGAAGTGCAATTCCATGTCAAGCAGTTCGCCTAAAGACCGAAAGAACGCCGAAATGAACTCCGAACCCCGATCACAGGTGACGTGGGAAGGAACTCCGTGTTTTGAAAAGACGTGAATAAGAAAGAGTTGAGCCAGCTCCACTGAAGTGATGTGAATGGTGCAAGGGATGAAGATTCCTTGCTTTGAAGAGCAGTCAATAATGACGAGAATGTTGTTGAAACCACCGGATAAGGGTAGTTCCTCGATGAAGTCCATAGAAATTGAGTGCCAAGGCCGAAGTGGGACCGGAAGGGGCTTCAAAAGCCCGTAAGGTTTGTGCCTAGGCTTCTTGTTGCGTTTGCACAAGACACAAGATAGACAGAAATCCCGAATGAAACTCCGAAGGTCGGGCCAGGTATAACCCCGACGCACAAGCTCCAAAGTCCGATTCTGTCCGAAGTGCCCCGAAAGGACGTGGTCATGGTGGTATTGAAGAACTCGGACTCGGAGTTCGTCCGAAACTCCGTTGACTAAAGGCACGTAGATGTGTTCATCAAGTCGGAGAAGGCCTTTGTTGTCGATAGACCATCGGCCGGAGTCCGAAGCAGCATGTCCGAGTCCGATGACGGCCGCGGGGTCATCTCGGAGATGGGCTAAAATGACGGAGTGAAGCTGCTTGGTGTCCATAATGACCGAAGCCCGAAGGACTGGTTCTTCAAGATAAGTGGCTCGGAGTGACGCTGATAACTGATCCTGAGTGAAAACGGGGCGAAAATTGTGAGGGTTAACTTGGCTGTTAGCCCTATCCCCCTCTTTAGGGTAGACGTCCCATCGTCTAGTTAATGCGTCCGGCTTGCCACCTAAGCGACCAGGGCGAAAACGAATGACCATATTGAAATGGCAAAGGTACTCGGACCAGCGCACTTGTCGACGAGTCAAGACCTTTGAAGTAGAGAAGTACTCCAGGTTCTTGTGGTCAGTGACCACGTCGATAGTAAGTGGTGCGCCTTCGAGATAGTGACGCCAAGTTTTGAAGGCATCAAAGATGGCTAGAAGTTCCTTGTCATGAACGTCATAGTTCAACTCCGAAGGATTGAAGGAACGACTCCGAGAAGCCACCGGATGGATTTCACCGTCATCTCCGAAGATCGAGAGTATGGCGGCTAGAGCGTAGTCCGAAGCATCGGTCTCGACAATGATTTGTCGGCCCGGAACCCAATGGTGAAGGATCGGGGCTTCGGAGAACGCATTCTTGAGGCGTTCGAACGCCGATTGGGCCAACTCCGACCAGTCCCATTTAACTCCGGATCGGGTCAAGCGAGTAAGGGGAATGGTGATGTCGGAGTAGCCGTTGATGAAACGCCGATAGAAGTTGCAAAAGCCGAGGAAGGATTGAATGTCTTTAACCTTCCGAGGGGCTGGCCAGCCAAGAATGGCATCAACCTTGTCCGAGGCCATCGCGAAACCATCGGGGGAAAGAATGTAACCGAGGTATTCACAAGTCGTAACTCCGAACTCGCACTTCGGAAGTTTGCAGTAAAGTCCGGCTGCGCGTAATCTCCGAAGGACTTCTCGGACATGCGAGGTATGCACATCGGAGTTGTCGGAGTAGATTAGGATATCGTCAAGATAGACGACCACGCAGATATCGAGCAAGTCCGAAAAAAGGCTATTCACAAAACGTTGAAAGGCCGCGGGTGCATTAGTCAGCCCTTCGGGGACGACTCGCCACTCATAAGAGCCGTAGCGAGTCCGAAAGGCCGTCTTCGGCTCATCACCTTCAGCGATACGCAAAAGGTGGTAGGCATGTCGGAGATCGAGCTTGGTATAGATTCGGGCTTTGCCCGGAGCATCGAGTAAGTCCGAAATGAGCGGAAGAGGGTAGCGATCCTTCTTTGTAATGCGGTTAAGTCCTCGGTAATCGACACAAAGCCGAAGGCTTCCGTCTTTCTTCTTAGCGAAGAGTATCGGAGCACCGTGACTTGACTTCGAAGGGTAAATGAAGCCCGCCTTTAAGTTCTTGTCAATGAACTCGCGCAAGGCCGTGAGTTCGGACTCGGACAACGAATAAATATGTCCGATTGGCGGTACTTCACCGTCGTCGGTGTCTATTCGGAGGTCAAACTCCCGATGAGGAGGAAGGTTGAACGCTTCGGACT